ATTTCCAACAACAATTTCAAATTGTTATGGAAAAAAGTGATCAGACTCAGCTATAATATGAAAGCAGCAATAAACAGAAAGAACAAGTTCTTCTTTCATTAGTGTTTCTAAAGCAGCTCAAATCACAAATGATAGACAGATATTATGGACAGGCTAGTAAAGGAAGGTCCACATACACCCCCCCCCCACACACACACACCCCTTACATATTTTTGGCATGAAGAATTTATGTCTGTGTGTATGTGTAAAGTTTACCGCCAGACATTAACCATCAGAGACTTGACTTTTTAAAATATTTTATATCAGAATGTTGTTCCCTCAATAGTCCACATGTCACCATAGCCCTGCTCTTTACACAAGATTACTTAAGAATATATTGTAAGTTACATTGTATTACTGAAAAAAAATGAAATTCCATTTTTTTCCACATGTGATCTTTTATATTATAAGATAGGGACTGTATCACTAATTGTAAACTGTTTTAGGTTTTTTGGCAATATATTTCAATTACATAAAAAAGTAAATACTTGCTATTTACTGGACCAACAAAAAGAATAAGTTCAATTTTAGTCTAGATTTATGTGCAATATTGTATTTTTTTAAAAACCTGGTTACTTAAAAAATTACAATTATTTTCTCTATAATTCAGAGAAAACATGTTCATCTTTAACACAGGATCTCATTCATGAAAGAATTTCTAAGTCATCTTTTGATGCTTTCATTTTGAAAGCTATTTAAGGCTTAGTATAATCTGATAGTCAAACTAGTAGTGAAAACTTTGTGAGCATTAATATAATTCCATTCTTCCCAGACAGCTGTTCCATATCAGTTGTCTCAGTGAAGCAAGATTCTGCATGCAGCAAAACCTTTAAAATGTAGATCTTCTGATCTTGTCTATATGGATACATCATGGCAAGTGCAGTAATTTAAAACTTTATAGTCATCTTTGACTGATCCTTCCAATTCAATGACAAATGGGATCAAGAAGAAGAGCCTTCTCTATCATGTTTCACTCTCTGAAACATCTTGTCTCCTAAAGCAAGGTCTGCCTCCACCTTTCTGGTCTTCCAGAAGAGCCTTAAAATCTGGCTCTGGTTGGCCTGGCGCCTTCAAAGGAGGGTTGGTTATGCTGAAGGTGGTTGATTGAGCATCCATACCATAAGATTTAACCTTTAATTGTTGTTAAACTTAATCTTGATTTTAATGTTTTTACATTTATGCTTTTATATTATTGTAAGCCACTCAGAGTCACTTGGGAGAATTAGAAAGTATATGAATTTAATAATTTTTCATGAGGATTTGGTATCATTTTCCATTTGCTTTGCAAAGTACAAACAATCCAACCAACTTTCATTTTTTGTTTTTTCTTCTAAGAGAGCAGACAACTGCTCAACTCTTAATAGCTGCCCTGAAATCTCTATAGCCTAGAATTAAACCAAGGATTTTGTCTGTAGCACTAGCCATCATAAAAGGGCTTTGTCTTTCCTGATTGTAAATGGCTATATACACTTACCACATATTAAAAACAATTAACTGTATCCTGTATGTATGAAATAACTAGAACTTTAATAAAGATGGTTGGTGGCTAAATAGGTTAAATTAAAATATCTGAATAACCTTGACTGAATAAGCCATCACTCAATCCAATTTAAAAACTAGTTTTCTTTTAGATTTTCAGGTGCCAAAAATATGTAGACATTTACATGTAGGCTATTAATTTTTATTGAGAAGTTGTATGTCATGGACAATTAATCCATCTTTGCCTTCCTTCTGACATATCAAGGCTACTGTCACATGACACTGAGTTACATACCAAACCACTACATTATAGCTCAGCATGTTATGCCAACTATACATATGTTCATATACTACAGCATATTGCAGAAACCTAGAAAATTGATTTAGATAAACCACAGTTAAGTTAACCATGAGTAAAGCATATTGTGGAAATGCAGGCTGTTTTTTATTTATTTGCAACAATTATTTTGATATCGAAGTTGACTCAATCATGGCAAATTTTCACATTGAAACTTGTGGTTCAAATCAGATATTACTCAACTCTACGCTTGACTGCTACAAGGAATCTGGCATTAGACACTAATTGTGAAAAAGGCCAATTGGAGAAAAGTAGGATGCTTTTAGTATCCCCCTCTCATCTTGTACTATACAAGAATTTCAACAGCAAACTCAAAATAACAATGTTCAAAAGAAGCCAAAGATATCATTTCCCAACTAAGATTATCCACACATTTCCTCGACTTTTCCATTTTTCAAAATAATGACTATTGTATGTATGGGTTTGGCATACAATTGCCAATGGCTACAGCAAATAAATATCTGAATAAAGTTGTCAGAGCCATAAACTCTTCATAAGCAGTTTCTTTTGTTATCAGAGCAATAGGCACTTTAAAAAATCCTGGCTTTTCCTCCCTGGAATCTGTTATTAACAAAGGGGGGGGGGGGTTAGGCCCAGAGGAATGCCATTTATCCATCTGGACTTTTTCATCTTTTTCTATCAACAGCTGAAGTCACAAAGGAGGACTACAAAGAAACAGCTAGCCTTGAGCTTTCCTTCCTATCTGACAGCTTTTTCCTTTCCCAGAAGAAATATTTTTAAATTTCTGCAACTAAACTTCTCTCTGTTACTGGACTTATAAGTCCACAGCTTCTTCAAAAAATATGAATCCAGAATCAAAGGTACAATAGCCTCATTTTTAACAAATCCTCATCTTTTAACTAGTCTAAGTCTCCAGTTTTAGGAGCACTGTGCTTTCACAAAACCAAGAAGTACACTTGAGTAAAACCAAAACACACTCACATGGGGACACACTATCTTAAATTGCTCCAAAGGTTAAGACTAATTTAACACTGACCTTGAAGGAGTAGCACTGTGCACACAACCTGCAAAACTAAGTAAACCCCACCCACCCCCAGTCAATATAGTGGCAGAAGTTTCCAAAATATAGTTTTATTAAGCATTAAAATATCATAAAGTAAATCATGTGTGGAAATACCATTTTTTCTGCCCTTCTCTGAACTCATCTGTCCCATTAAACTATTACTCTCAGAATTTGCCTCTCTCAAGTAAACTGAATAGTGTGCTGTAATCTATTAATTACCCACAATACCCACAAGCTGCTTATTTAATTGCTTTGTGTGCCAGTATCAAATTCTACTTGTGCTACTTCCTCCTAAATGTGTTGTTTATTTCATTTTTTTTTCTTTCCAGAACACATGTCTGCTTAGAGTGGTTTCCCCAGTTCATACAAAGACTGTGATAACTAACATGTGCATCACTGTCTTACCCTTCATTGTGCATAGCTCTTTAGCCAAGTTGGGCAGTTCACTTTAGTGTAGTTGTCATATAAATTGGCATCGTTTTAGGTTTCCTGAAATCGATTTGAATCCGGGATTTGTTCAGATAAGTCTGAATTCTCCAGAACTGTTTGGGGTCTGAATGAAATATAGCTAACTAATCATCCTACAATGTCAGATTGTCAAGAACACGAAGAGTCATCACATCTTGTCTGGCCATCTTGTCTTAAGCTTGCAACTAGTAAATTGTGCTTTATTCAGTAAAAGTGTCTCCTTACAAACAAGCGCCCAGTAACCCCGACAATTCTTGCCAGTGGCTCTTTTGGGTAACCGGTAGATCACGAGTGAAAAACAATGGGGATAAACCCATCCGTCCCCGACCCGGTGATCTCTTCCGCCCAAGAATAGCACCCCATTGCTGAGGGAGGAAAGAGCTCCATTATGTACCGTTAACAGCCAGCTGAGGGGGATGCAAAAGGGTCCCGAGATGTCGACAAAGGAAGAGGCGGCAGAGCCCTTTACGGTACACGAGGAGCTTCTTTTCCTTCCCCCCCTCTCTCGGCCCTTCACGCGGGCTCCTGTTCGTCTTTCCCCCCTCGTTTCGCTGCCGCCACCGCCCGAAGACCGGGACTAACCTGTGCCGGCAGGGGAGGGCGAGAACTGCGGATGGAAGCCGGGCGGATGCGGCAAAGCACCAGTTGGCTCTCGCTTCCTCCCTCGGGCACAACCACCCCGCAGCAGCAGGGAGGAGGGCGGCTTTAAACGTCAGCGGCAGTCGCGAGGAGGGGGAAAAAAACGGGGGGGCGCGGCGCAGTTGTTCAGTTGACGCCTCAGCCTCTCCCCGGCCTAAACCGGTTACAGCCGCCCGGCTGAAACTGTCGTCGCCGGGCGGCGAGAAAGGAAAACAAGCGGCACCAAGAACACGTGAGGCGGCCGGCCAATGGGAGACCGCGCGCTGGGGGGGTGTTTGTGTGTGTTTCTGTGTATCTAAAGGCGGTGGGAGGGGCGGAGCGAGTTAGGGGAGGGGAACGACGGGAAGGTGACACCCTTCTTAGGAAAAAGCGCGCGCGGGCGCTCTCGGGAAAACGGGAATGGGGGTGGGGCCTATCAAGGCCGCGTGGCTATCAAGGCCGCGTGGCCGAATAAGCAAAGATGGGAATGCGAGAGCGGCAGTCTTGTTCTTATTGTGGCAGATACTATTGCTGGTCTAGTTGACATTTATTATTAATCCATTTATAAACAACACAAGCATGCAATACGACCTAGAGTAAACTCTTTGGTTGCTTGCAGTTTTATTTTCTAAGGAACTGTCACCACCCCTTACCCCAGGGCAGGTCATTTTAAAATATACTTCTTGTTGACTTGTGGTCGGTACTAGATGTGCTCTCGAATAGCACTTGAGTCATTGATAATATGGGAAGCCCCCTCCATCCGAGAGAATATCAAGGGGCAGACTATTTCCCCAAAGGAGAAAAGGAAAAAAAATATTAAAGGTGAAAAGCAGCGCCAACAGTCTCAAGCAGAACCCCAAAGTTTTTAGAGATGGATATTTTTTGCCCATTAAGAAATCCAGGCCTGCTCCCCCAGAGTGGATGGGATTAAGAATTTATTTTCCACCACCCACCCACCCAAATTCTAAGGACAGGATATCACCTTTAGGGCATATTGTATAGAATTAACCCACCACCATTGGAATAGTAAAAGACCAAAGGCTCGCTACATTGCACAACCCCCTGGAGCTTCTCAATCACTAAATCCCAGAACCCCATAAAGATCCATCCATTCACTCAGCCATTTTGTCAGCCACCCCAAAAACATGCTTCTGTCATGTTTCTGGCATCCAAATGAATAAGAGACCTTCTTTCCATGCGGCCTACATTTTATTTCCAGCATCTTTCTCCTGGCTTGGAACAAGACCTGATTTTTCTTCCTACAATAACAAGCAGACATAGGTCCATGATGTGTCGGTACCTGAGGTGCATTGAGATGAAACCCACAGCCTGACGAATCTTTTGGAGACCGATGCTGCAAATAACAACAGCTGGAAGGGCCCTTGGAGGTCTTCTAATTCAGGGTCCACAAACCCCGGTCCGTGGAGCGTTACCAGGCTGCAGCATGCCAGCAATCGGGCTACACAAACAAGTGAAGCCCTATCCATGGGATGCAGGCAGCATGCAATACCACATTCCCTCCGGTCCATGAAAAAATCTGGTTGGGAGCCACTGTTCTAGTCCAACTCCAACTTCCTGCTCAAGCAGGAAGACCTATATCTTTTTAGACAAATGTTGTACAATCACAAAAGCAATTAAGGGTGCTGGAAGAAATGTCCTTCTGGGTTCAGTTCCAAATGGGGAAAAAGACACTAGAAATATGGAGGCTGCTTGGAAAAATGGTTTAATGGTGAACAGGATCACATGGCTTGAGCTCCTGAACAGAAAAGGATGATCACATGCTTCCAGATGTTGGGTGAAGAAGAAATA